AGGTTATCAGTGTGCCTGAATGACAGGCTAAATTCCACTCCTACGCTTTTATATATCTTCAAGTTGACATGAAAATATGTAATTACCACTCTATATGTATATACATGTATGTGTGTGTGTGTGTGTATATATATATATATGCAAAATAATTTGGGAAGATTGAAATATTGATGTCTATGTATATGTCAGTTGGTATTTTGCCAGATGAATAAAACAAAGAGGGAGAGAAGATCAAGGAAGCTATAAGCACATGCAGAGGAATGATTATAATGAAGAACTAGAAATTTAGAGCTGGGAAAGAAGGAAAAGGAGACTTTCAAGATTAAAAACAATTAAAAGGTGGTAGAATCAATGAGTTGTAGTTCCAAATGAATTTGAAGAATAAAGTCAACCTTGAATGATAATATCCTATAAAATAAGTACCAGTACCAGACCCATGCATTTTTACAACTCAGTCAACTGAAAACTCACAGCCATCATGTCAATTCTGACTCACAGAGGCACTGTAGCAGAGAATAGAGATGCTTGTGCGGGCTTCTGAGACTGCAGGAAGCCTCGTTTTAATCCTGCCGAGCGTGTGGTAGGTTTGAATTACTGACCCTGGGTTTAACAGTCCAACTAAAATTGATTGAATCATGAAGTTTCTCTGAGTAATTTCAAACATGGTTTTCATCTGTTTTTCTAGGAACACCAGTGCTTATGAGTTTAATCAGCAAGGAAGGTAGATTTCTGATGTGTATTCTGTAGATCTCAAACTCTTACACCATGAGACAAGATGTCCTATGGGAACTCTGCTCTAATTTAGCTTCTGGGGCTAATAAATGCCATGCTCTGTATGTGTCAAGTTGAAAAAAAATACGGAGGATCAGATAGCTACTGGCTGCTCAATAAAAATAAAGTTGATCATCTCTGTGCTTACCATCTACGCAGTGAATATAATGTGTGACATTTTTTATATGGGTACATGTCATCACTCTAAGCTGTATTTTACTCAGAAGAATAAAAATTAGAACTAGAAGCTTTTATGGGTTAGTTAGCCACCTGAATTTACAGATAGCGAATTAAGGCCCAAAGGAATATTCTAATATCTTGCATGAACTCTTTTATTATAACATTATTGTCATTGATAACTTAAAGACCTAGCCTTAAAAGTGAGTGTCTGGTATTTTGACATATGAGGATTATATCTATGGCATATTAAAACTTTAATTCTTTTTCTTTTAGATGTGCTTTTATTTTTCATTAGATGACCCATCTCATATTTCACTTCCATGATATATTTTGTATTCCTCCTAATAATTAAATGAGCAATGACATTTCTAAGTTGTATTTAACTTTCTTATTAAGAAAGATTTGGCTGATTAAAAGCTTCCAAAAATTATTCTGTGAAAAATGACCAAACGGTGATGTTACCCAATAGGGGATATATACTTAGAAGCAAGTCTCCATTCTGCCCTTGACTCTAGCAGAGAATGACATAGTAATTAATCAACTACGGTGAATCAAATTAACTTAAGAGCTAGAATTTTTATATTTAGCTTCAAGAAATTGAAATGCACTGAAAACAGGAATTTGAAATTATTTCAAGGTTTTTGCACTTAAGTATCTTGAAACAAAACATTCTGTTACATGTCAGTGTTTTGTGCAGTGTTTGTCACTGTCTTTAAAATCAAATTCATTTTATCTAGAGGCTAATTGGGTTATTCATTTGTGTTATTTTACATACAAAGTTACTTTCTCATATTTTATATGAAAATCTAGAGGCTTCAAAGATTAGTATTACCTACATTGAAAAATACAACTTTCCTCTAGTTCCTAAATGTTTCCTCCCCGCTCCCACTATCATGATCCGAATTCTACCTTGCAAGTCTGGCTAGACCAGAGGATGTACACTGGTACAGATAGGAATTGGAAATACAGGGAATTCAGGGCGGATGAGCCCTACAGGACCAGTGGTGTGAGTGGCGAAACAGGGAGGGTAGAGGGAGAATGGGTTGGAAAGAGGGAACCGAATACAAGGAACTATATGTGGCCTCCTCCCTGGGGGATGGACAACAGAAAAGTGGGTGAAGGGAGACGTCAGACAGGGCAAGATAGGACAAAATAATAATTTTTAAATTATCAAGAGCTCATGAGGGAGGGGGGAGCGGGGAGGGAGGGGAAAAATGAGGACCTAATGCCGGGGGCTTAAGTGGAGAGGAAATGTTTTGAGAACGATGAGGGCAATGCATGTACAAATGCACTTTACACAATTGATGTATGTATGGATTGTGATAACAGTTGTATGAGCCCCTAATAAAAGGATTTTTTAAAAATCAAAGAAAAAAAAGAAAGAAAGAAAAATTAACTTAAAAAAAGAAAAGAAAAGTATGTAGCAGAAATCAGCTGCCTTACAGTTATCTTTTTAGACAATATACTGGTGTATATATAAGCCAGCAAAAGGCACAATTTTGAATCACAAATTCCATTTCTATGCATTTATGTTAAGGAAAAAAAGTGGACATGTGTATAAAAGTGTGTCCACCAAGGATGATCATAATAAATGCTTGAAAAGGTGAAGCTAGAAACCACCTCCATGTGCAATATTTATTAGAATGATTATATTATAATTTACCTAGAACATGAAATAGTATACAGTAAAACAGTGTGAGAATTTATATTTTAATACATTAGTATTGCATTATATTCCCTTTGAAATATATTTTACATAGAAATGTATACTATGTACATAAAAACGTGTGCTCCCACTGAAGTGTGTGTGTATAGTGTGTTTGTGAGTGTACACAATGTCTGCCTGTTGTTAGTCTACTCATAGATGGAAAAATTCTGGAAGACTATGTACCAAATCTTAAGAAGTTTCTGTTGCAACGATGAGTATGTTGTTGTTTTTAAGTGCTGGCGAGCCGATTCTGACTCCCAATGACTCTATGTACAGCAGAGGGAAACTGCCCAGTCCCGCCTATCCTCACAATTGCTCTTCTGTGTGAGCCCACTGTGGCAGCCACTGTATTGAAAAACAAGGATGTTACTTTGAGGACTAAGGTGTGCCTGACCTAAGCCTTAGTATTTTCAGTTGCCCATATGCATATGAAAGATGCACATTGAATGAGTAAGACTGAAGAAGAATTGATGCATTTGAATTGTGATGCTCCAGAAGAAACTGAAAGTACCATGGACCACTAAGAGGACAAGCCAATCTGTCTTGGAAGAAGTACAGCCAGAGTGCTTTTTAGAGGCAAAGATGATGAGACTTTGGACATATTGTCAAGAGAAATCGGTCCCTGGAGAAGGACATCTGCTTGGTTAAGTGGAGGCCGGTGACAAAGCGGAAGGCCCTCAGGACATGGATTGACAGTGGCTGCAAGAATGGGCTCGGGCACAGGAATAGTTGTGAGGATGGCATGGCACCTGCAGTACTTCATTCTGTTGTGCCTAAGTCACTGTGGGCCAGAGCTGATGTGATGGCGCCAAAGCAAACAGTTCCATTACTAAGCTTGATGTCCTTCCCAGGGCCTGAAACATGTCCAAAGTATGTAAGATGAAGTGTCATCATCCGCACTTCTAAGGAGTGCATTGTAAGGAAGACTTTTCACTGTCTGCTTCCTAATCATAAATTAAATAGGGCAAATGAGTTGTATTCTAAAATCAAAAGTTTATATAGAAATTAATTTAATGTGAATTTAAATAACTATGTCTGTTAGAGGAAACCAGCCTCCAACAACTGAAGGGCTAGAAGGCGCAAAGGTACAGGTATAATATATAAAGATTATAGTAAAGTCATAGAGGATAAGACAGATAGGAAAGAGAATAAAATAAAGGAGACACATTTTATGGTAGCATGCTCACCTCAGTTCCTCTTGCTGGACTATTCAGAACTGGGAGAAGTGAGAGCCAGCCTTTCCTGTCTTGGGACATTTATAGGGAGCCTGAAGACATGCATATTCCATAGTGACATGTGTCACAAGGTGGGTGGTATCTACATTAAGGTCCCTGAGCTCACAGGTGAGGAAAGCTAATGCCTGCCTTGGGAGAAGGTGGAAGGGGGGTGGGGGTGGGGGGTTGGGTGTTCCAGCGGGAAGAGAGAAAAGGATAGTGTCTCCTTCTATAGGGAGATATCATCAACCATGTGCTCACTTTAAGGCAGCATAGCTGTTAAGGGGAGAATCTGTGGGAATGATTTTTAAAGCAGCGTAGTATACCTGGACTTTACCTTTAAGTTACCAAAGTGGAGGCTTTCCTGCCATGGAATACCAGCTTTCCAGGTTCCCTCTGTAATAAGTTAGGGATATAGACCTCATCTTAGTTCCTTCAGTGTTAGTTTCCCACATATGTCGTATGTCATATGTTTTTGTTTTTCCTGAGTCTATTCTGACTCATAATGACCCTGTGTGCAACAGAAAGAAACAGTCCAGGCTGCACTGCCCTCACAACTGCGTTATGTTTGAGCTCATTGCAGCACTGTCTTGGTTCACCGCCTGGAAGGGCTTCCTATTTTTCTCTGACGCTCTACCAAGCATAATGCCCTCTTCAGGGCTGGCCTTTCCTGATAACATGTCCAAGGTATGGGAAGCAAAGTCTCGTCTTCCTCACTTCTAAGGAGTATTCTGGCTGCACTTCTTCCAAGATAGATTTGTTTGTTGATCTGGCAATCTGTGGTGTTGTCAATATTCTTCCCTAACATCACAATTCAAACGCACCAATGCTCCTGCCTTCTTCCTTCTTCATGGTCTCAACTTCATATGCATGTGAGGCAATTGACAATACCTTGACTTGAACCAGGCTCACCTTGGTCCTCCAAGTAACATGTGTGCTCTTCAACACTTTTCAGAGCTTGTGCAGCTGAGTGGGTTCATAGGTGACCTAATCTTCTGGTAAAATGCTTCACTTCTTAAAATCGGTAAAATAATGGTTTGGTTTCACTGAACCATTTGATTTCATAAATGTGTGATTGCTTTAGGCAATGTTTACAAGTGCATATTATTTTTGTTTTTCATTTACAGATGATGACACTAAGGTCCAGTCTAAGAGACGACTCTATACAGTGAGTCTGCCTCCCACTGGGTATATCCCATGTCTGTCGGAGCTGAACGTTGCTGTGGCATCTGATAATCCCTCCAGCAGTGATGACATCGAAGGTAATTATTTGATCCTTGGTGGGTGGAGAAGTTAACATCTTGACCAATAAACCTTTTTTTAATATTCTCATTTTTTAAACATTTTAGTAGTATAAATTAATGTTATCTAAATTTATAATTAGAAGGAAGTGGTAGGCTTATTAATGTATAACCCACACAATATACTATCACGTATTTTATAGTTTGAAAAAGTGATTGTAAAAAAATTGCAGTTATGTAAGAAATATTTTGAATGGGGATATAAAGATGGTACATGGTTGCAGCCATATTCGTTAATGAGTTAAAAGAAATCTGAAATTATCAACATGTGAACTGTACTTGCTTTGGTACAGTGGAACCCCACCACCACCACCACAGTTTTCAAATTTTCTGAGATTAAATAACCTTTTTATAATTGTGGAAATAACTTATCTGTCATATGAGGGGGATGAATTATTAGACATTTTTTTTTTGCTATTGAATATCAAGTATCTTATGGATGAAGAAAATAAGACAAAAGAAAGACTAGGTATTTGGTTCAATTACCTATTACTAGAGAAGGAAGTGTAGCACTTTAAAGTATTTTACCTTTATTCTCTTCAGAGTGATCTTGAAAAGCTTTTAAACAGAATTTTGAATTTTTAAACAAAAACTTAACCTCAATGTTTTTTAGCAAGTAGAAAAGTGCTATAAACTCTGATCAGTTTGAATATCTAGAGAATGTGGCTTTCTAGTACATTGCCCTTTCTAGCTTTTGAATTAAAGGATCAATAATCATCGGACCAAAAATAAAGTAATTAGGAATAATGCATTTGCGTTTTCAAGCCCCATTGAAATCTTTGAAATGTAATTATTATGTGAATCAATTATTTAACCAGAAACTTTAATTATGTTCTGGTGAAGATCAATTATTTTGGTGACTGTGCTTCATCATTTACTTAGTATGTTCAATAGCAAAGCATGCTGGACTCACTGATGTGCAATTTTGTACAGTTGATGATGCCAATGGGCACATACATGTCTGTCTGCGAAAGCTTCTCTTAGTCCTTCCCATGACCAAATGCCACATCTAAAAGTGGTTAAGTCAAGACTACATGAGACAGTGTCATTGTAGAAAATGGAAAGCTATTTGTACCAAATGGGCAAATATTCCTCTAATGAATGGAAGTGTCTGGAAGATGATATGCATTGAAAGCCCAGCTTATTGCCACCGAGTGGATTCCAATTCATAGAAACCCTCTGTGTAGCCTCTTCTGCTGCTGCTGCTGCTGTGAGTCTCAGTGCGATGGAGACACCAGGAGTGGCCCTGGCACCAGCTACTTCAACAGTTGTAGATTAGTTAGAGCCAAGCCTGATTTCTCTAAAGAACAATCAGCTCAGGTCTACATAGTTAAAGGAAAAGGGAATAAGATTAGGATTCAGTCTACTTAAATTGCATTGGTAACAGAGCTTGGATAATTTATGCCATAAGTTTGATCACAAATTGTCTTTTACGTTATGTATTTAGAAGTTGCTTCCTAGGGAAAACACGTCTTTTAATTTATTTCCTCTGTTACTTTGTAGCAGTAAATGTTGAAAACCTTAACTATGTTATTTTCCCACCCCATTCTCACCCTTAGAGGCAGGTGTTTAGGGAAGAGGGTGATAGAAACACTCTGTGATGGTAACTGCAAGTGAGCAGATAAAATAAGGCAATTGCCTTGGGACCAACTAGTAAAGTTAGAAATTGTGCCAATAGGAGGTAGAGATTTCTCTGCTAGTTAATACCCTGGGATTTGAATATTCATTTAATCTATTCTGAATTCTTACACCTGGTTCCATCAACCATGACTCCTGACTTGTCCTTAACCTTACATCTGAATTCTAGCACCTCACATACTGACCTCCAGTTATGAACTCTGGTTGTTTGGCTGTGATCATTCTGGGACTCCTAGACTCCCTGTCTGCACTAGGCTTGATTTGAAATATTCTTGCCTATCTTCCCATTGCACATCAGTTGGGGATGACATAAATGGCTTATCTCTGCTTTCCAAGAGCAGCTCCTTCAAGAGGCTCCTTGAATTCAGTTTAGTAAGTTAATAATGATATAAATCATTAACCCACTTTCCAGGAGAGCAATGGATAGCTAATTAATCAAACTCAGGATGGCAGGATCTTTAAACATTATATACTTCTAGCTTCATCTCCAAATGTCTCAATTTTTTGAAAGCTTTGTAGTTTTCTTTTTGTTTTTACTATCAATCTTTTTGTTCTTAATATAAACCTCCTGGAGTCAACCTCGTCAGAACTTTTGAATTGGTGAAGTTAGGGGAGGAAATAGTTGTTAATTATACATTTTTTCACATGGGTTTCCTACTTCCATTGGCTGACTTTCCTGAAAAAGTAGTGTTACTTGTAGGTTGGTAGTGATGTTGGCATTTGTTCCATCAGAACCTCTTACGTTTCTATGAGACCACTTTACTTTATTTCCCTGTGACTGCTCTCTAAATCACCGCATTCTTGTATGAACAAAGAAGAAAATCTGTCACAATATTGAAGAAGTGATCATTCAAGGGTGGGTATGAAAACAGGCCCACAAAGTAAAAATATGAGATGACAAGGTATTTTAAGTTATTCCGAACACAGTTTTAAGACCAGAGGATGTACACTGGTACAGATAGGAACTGAAAATACAGGGAATCCAGGCTGAATGAGCCCTACAGGACCAGTGGTGTGAGTGGTGAAACAGGGAGGGTAGAGGGAGAGTGGGTATGAAAGAGGGAACCGATTACAAGGAACTATATGTGACCTCCTCCCTGGGAGACGGACAACAGAAAAGTGGGTGAAAGGAGACATTGGACAGGGCAAGATATGACAAAATAACAATTTATAAACTATCAAGGGCTCATGAGGGAGGGGGGAGCAGGGAGGGAGGGGAAAAATGAGGACTTAATGCCGGGGGTTTAAGTGGAGAGAAAATGTTTTGAGAATGATGAGGGCAATGAATGTACAAATGCGCTTTACACAATTGATGTGTGTATGGATTGTGATAAGAGTTGCATGAGTCCCTAATAAAATGATTTTTAAAAAAGAAGTAAAGAGAACAGGATACTTAAAGTTGGGGGGAAAGAAGAAGGTTGCATTGCCACGGCTTTCAATTGGAGTATTGTAGGAGCAGTCAATCAATGAAGTCACACAGAAAGTTACAGAAAGATGTTTACGTGTGTTTTTTTTTACTGTGCCAAGTCAGTCCACCTTGTGGATTATAACATACTAGGGCTAACATTAGGAGAATGGAAATTCCATAACACTTCCTTGTGCTCCTGCAGAATCTGTGCATGGAGCAAGTGATAGTGATTTGAACACAACAAGGGAATACTGAATGGTTTAAAATCCAGAAAGGTATGTCTCAGGATTGTATCCTTTCACCATGCTTATTCTATCTGTATGCTGATAAAATAATCAGAAGCTGGATTTTATGAAGAAGAACACGTCATCAAGATGAGGGGAAGGCTTATTAACATCTATGATTTGGAGGTGACACAAGGGACTTGAAGCACTTACTGGTAAAGATAAAGGACTGCAGCCTTCAGCATGCATTACAACTCATTTCACAGAAAACAAAAGCTTCACAACTAGACCAATAGGTGACAACACGATACGTGGAGAAAAGATTGAAGTTGCCAAGGATTGCAATTTTCTTACATCCACAGTCAGTGGAAAGGGAAGCAAGCAGGCAAGGGACTAAATGAAGTAGTGCACTGGGCGAATCTGCTCACAAGACCTCTTTTAAAGTGCTGAAAAGAAAGGGTTTCACTTTGAAGACTAAGGTGTGCCCCAGTGACAGTGTGGGAATTGCACCTGATCTGACCCCGCCACAGTGAGGCAAAGCACTGGGGGAGTGCAGCGGAACAGCAGGGGAGGGGAGTAGCAAGATCACCAGGGAATGATGAGGGTGGACATTGGAGACAGGGCATGGTGCCCCAACAGGCTAGACCGGAAAGCACAAGCTTTTCTTTCTTGGTATATTTTAATTTGTTCTT